CAATTACTCCGCTGCAGACGGTTTCTCTTCTCACTCGTAAAGCGGGGGGCCCGTGCGCGCGCGCCCTTAGAGAGCTCTGCTGGAAGTTTTGTGCTGCCAACATTTTTATAAATTAAGGGGGAGCGGGAGGAGAGATACCAGAGGTCGGAGCAGTAATAACCTGGCGCTGCGCTGAATTGTGTGTGTATGTGTGTGCGTGTGTGTGTGTGTGTGTGAGGGAGGGAGAGAGAGAGAGAGAGTGTGTGTGTGTGTGTGTGAGAGAGAGAGAGAGAGGGTGGCAGGGAGAGTGCTTCTGTCTCCCTCGCTCTCCTATTCGGGAGAAGACGCAGCCGACGACAGGAGCGTGGCAGCACTCGACCGTATAGCCTAGCAGAAAACAAGCAGACAACAAATGTTGTCGTTCAGTAGGGTCGTTTCGAGAGCCACTGATTTTTGTTGATTCTTTCTTTCCGCGTACCTTCCGTTTTATAAGCATCCTAAATCTGCCTGTTGAAAGTAGGCGCCAAATGAATTTTTGCCCCGTCGGTTGCCGCGGCCCTTCCAACCCGTTGCTGCGCTCGGCCCCGGCCCCCAGTCCGAACACTACCCTGCCTCTGGCACAAGAGCAAGAGCCCCTTGAGTGGTGGCGAAGAAGGGAGGGGAGGGGGGAAGGGGTCAGTTTCGCCGCAGTTAACCTTAATAGGCAGAAAACACAATAAGTCGCACTCCCCCATTACAACAATAGTCAACAATAAAACTAATTGGTGAAAAAGAAGGAGCCAATCGTGGCGCCATAAATGTGATTGGTATAATGGCCACACACACACAGACACACCCTCACCCTCCCCGCCCCCCTGTTTCTACCCCCAAAAGACCCTTGTGGTTTCCTGCTCTCTCGAACACCACTCTAAAGGAAAGGGGGCGTTCAGTTGTTACGTGCCGTTGTGTACGAGTTGTCTGTTGTCTAACTACTTGTACGAGCGTGTGATCGCAGGGCCCAGAGGGGAGGTGGGAGGAGTCTGCTGGGAAGAGAGGTCCCATCCGGTGACATAGGTCAAGTCACACAATCAGTCAGTCTCAGCCGCTCCGGCAACGGATGGATAAAAATGGAGCGCATATAGCTCGAGAGCCGACAATTAACTCAGCCAGCCAGCCTGCCGCCTCTGGCCTCTGGCGGCGGCCGCGGCAAAGGGACCTGCCCAAAGGAAAGGAAAGGCCCCACCAGCGCCGCCGCCGCACCCCGCGCCTCGCGAGTCACACCACCGATGCGCTATGTGCCGACTCGTCATATTTATACACTGGGAAAGGAGATCAAGGCGGCGGAGGAGGGGTAAGAGGGGGGCGATTTCTTTTAAGAAAGGTCATAAGAGCTATCGTAGTAAATGGCTGTCCGAGGAGGTCTCCAGTAATTACAGTTTCGGAACAAATGAGAGCCATCTCCAAAGGCGAGCTTCATTTATTACTTTGCACTCGCGCGGCGCGGCGCGGCGCGCGTTCGCCGGGCGTACACACACGTGTGAGCGTGCTGTAGCCGACCGCTATAGCGCCCCGCGAGAGATTTGGTCACAAGTAGTAGGTCTGTGTGTGTGTGTGTGGGGGGGGGGGCATACTCATCCGCGATTCCCGTGACTGACCTCCGGCAAAGGGCGCTGCTCGACCGTCGCCGTTCATGAGGAAGGAGGGTGTGTGGGGGCGGGGGAGTTTCAGGCCCGCCAGAGGCGACGCATAATGTGCATTCGTTTAAGCGGGCGCGGCGCGTCAGCCGTCGTCTACCTACCACGTGCGACAAACGCACGGCTAGGCACGCGCACGAGAGAGTCAGCAAAAGACTTTCAAGTTATCCTCAAACGCATGACTCCAGACTCACTCCAGCAGCTCCAGCAAACGCCGCCACGGCCTTATTTGGGGGACTCAGGACCTTTTTTTGAGAGGGGCAGAGAGGGGGGGAGGGGGAGGGAGGGAGGGGACAAGGAAAAGGGCTGAGATGCGATAATGCCGTGGAGAGAGAAGGAAACGAGCTACGACGGGCCAGAGGCTGACGCCACGAGCACGCCGCGTTTTTGCCAGCATCAAGGAATTGGAATAATGATAGTAATGAGCCTATTTCCTCCCAGCAGGAGCAGGCAGGCCTCATCGTTCGGAATCAGAGTATCTCAGAAGTCGGACGCATTTTTGGATTATCATCGGTACACTTTGCATTATGGACCGTCGGCTCCTCCAAGCTTCCTCTCCCTCTGCCCCCCCCCCCTCCCCCCTTTTCCCTCTGTCCTGACACCTTGCTTGTCTATCTTATTCCGATGTCGGTTTTTTTTCCACCCTTCATCGCCAGAGTCATCGCTTTGGAAATGACAAAATCAAGAGGCTCAAAATTGGATAGTAGATGGTGAATAAGTCAGGTTGCGCTGAGCGCTGAGCCGAAGCCAAACCACGGTGCGAGAGTCCGTCCGAATTCTTAATCGCGTTCAGATTGACTCATTCCGGCCTAATCGGAACGGAACGATTGAGAATTCGGACGAACGCCGAGTCTCTTGCGCCGTTCCCTTAGGTTTGAATAGTCGTGCCGGTGTCCGCTTTGCTTCCGTTGCCGGTCCCAACGCTTAAAATCAGAAAGTAAGAGTCCTTAGGAGTACTGGACATTCAGGAGCATCCGGTTGTATTTGGCGCCAAACCGGGACCGTAGGTATGACACTGCAGCTGTGTTTGTTTTTACAAGGCCGTGAAGAGCTCCATTGTCAAATTCTAATAATGGTTCCCCGCCCGCAATCCTGAATGCCGTTTACGTCTGATTTCTTCAGACCCTGCTTTAAACACACGTTGATATTCAAATGTATGCAGGGGAACAGTATTGGAGTAGTTATTTGTGTCGCACGGCGAGGCGAGCGCGTGAGAAGCCGCTGCTAGTTGGGCTTTAACGTTATCTTTCCGAACCGGTTGATTTACCTCACGACCGTCGTTCAGTTTGTTTGTGGTGATGTGTTGCAGGTGGGGGCAAGGTTAAGAAGGTTTCATTCATTGTCTTTTTTGGTGCGGTCTGAAGAGGACATCTGTTCGCAATGGGTCTCCTAATTTCAAGATTCAAGGTAACTTATTTGGTACATCTTTGGTTTGCATTGTGCTAAGGGGTTATGAACACCTAACATCTGGACTGGACATGTCATTCACATCTTTTTTCAAACTTTTGTGACAAATGCTCAAACTCATTTTACTAATCCAATGGGAAAGAGCCTGTCCGTCGATGACAAAGCAACAGTCGGGTGAACAGCGGGTGGGCGTGATCAGTTTTATTTGATTACATAACTCACACATTCCCCTGGAAATAAGTCAATTCAGAGCCAGTAAGGTGTGATTTTCAACTTTTGATAAAATGTACTTCTTTATCATTAACCACTGTAACTCTACTGGCCTTCGGAAAATGAACTATCTATGATGACTCATGACTTCTTATTTATTTACCCCAGGGCACTGACCAGACTATTTTGTTGAAGTACTTGTAGAGCTCATGAAATTCTGTATTTTTCAGAGAAAGAAGACAACCTATGAACTATTGGAAAAGCTTGATAAAGTGAGTACTTCAAACCCCTTTTGTTTTTTGTGTTACTAAGTGCTCAGCACTATGATAATTTATTTTTTTTACTTTGTAGGATATAACCAGCATTGAGAAGTATCGCACAAATACCGAGCAAAGGCAACGTCGGATTGTTGGGCAGCTGGTTGTCTACTCAGTCGGTGCTTATGTTCTTGCTGCAGCATTATTTTATTTTTATTGGTTTCCCAGCACCCTACGGGAGCAGCTTATTTGTGTCACTCCACTTCTACTTTTCCCAATTGTGTGAGTAATTTTTAATTTATACTAACAATTAAAATCATAACATATACCTATCTCCATCCATTTATTTTTTCAGCGTCCTGTTGCTGAAGAGAATTTTAACTTTCTATTACTCTCGTAAAATTACTAAGAATGAACAAAAATTATGTGATTTACGAGCTGAGAAAAAAAAGATTCTTGAGGATGTTATGGATAAAGAGACATACAAAGTAGCTAAAACTATTTTGGAGAAATTCGCTCCTGAGCAATTGAGATCAAAAGGACTGGTAAGTTTATTGCTAATTGTAGCCTCCTCCTACATTGTCTTGCATTTTAACACTGTAATTCTTTGGTCAGCAGGAAGCCAACTCTACTCCCAACAAGCTGAATGCAGGAAAGACTCCACTAGCTTCTGCACCCAGAGGACCAGTTCAGCTCCATCAAGCAACACCGTCTCGCCCCGTAGCTGGCTTATCACCAACAGAGCTTCGTAGAAGGACTCTACCATCTGCGTTAGGAAACCAAGGGCCCAATACTGTGCCGCCTTCTTCAATTTCATCTGACTCTCTTTCTACTGCTGCAATGCAACGAGCACAATTCCTCTCTGGAACACCCATGCACAGACCTTCAGCGAATGGTCAGAGTTTCAGTTCTGAGTATCGTAAGTTGTTGCTTCGCTAAGCTCATTTTTAATTTTTACTTTCTTATGAATTTTATTTATTTTTTGTTACTACTGGCCTAATGCGAGCGCTTTTTCTATTATACCTAGGCCCACCAGGTCCTCCTTTACCACGTCCTGTTCTCCCCCGAGAACGCTCATATCTTGATCGTGTCGTAGACTATGTTGTGGGCGATGGTCCATCAAACCGTTTTGCTCTCATTTGTTCTTCATGTGATTCACATAATGGCATGGCTCTGAAAGAAGAGTTTGAGTATCTCTGTAAGTTCCTGTGAACAGTTTAGCAGTTTTGGGAAATTTTTGTAAAACTATCTATTTAATCTATTTTTCATTGTATTAGCCTTCAGATGCTCCTATTGCCATTATTACAACCCTGCACGCAAGCAGCGCCCACAGGCCCCACGGCTTTCCCCTGTACCAGGGTCCAAATTGCATGCTGTGGGGCAGCTGCAGCATGCTGGCAAAAGTGATGATACTTCAGACTCTGAGAAAAACAGTGGATCTGATAGCAGTGATGATGGTAATAGTAATTAAGGTACTAATGGTCTTAATTGTTATACATTTTGTTTCACACTAATTCTCTTTCAGATTCTGCACCAGAGCCTCAGCTGTTGAACAATTCTGATGCAACTGGTAAGATCATGTACTGAGAACTGTCATACTTTGTGTAGAATTGATGTTTTTGTTTATATTCTGTCATTTCTTTATTGTAGACAAGAAAGATCAAGCTGACACTTCCCTTGACCGTGAAGCTGACGAGTTTCTAAAGTCTCTAGATGGTAAAGGTATTGTCACCTCAAGCTGAAGCTGATGCAATGCTTTTGTTTTGGTAAAAATTACAAGATTATTTCTTTTTTAGAGGGCAAAAGTTCCTCTGTGGAGCCTCCAAGCAGCACAGGAAACAACCCCTCGGAGGAGGCTGAAAGCAGCACATAAGCTATTGAACTTTGTGCTATTTACCTACTACCATTTGAAAATGATTTATTTTGGATAATGATCCATTAAATCTGTTATTTGTTGGATTCTATTATGCAGGTACTATCACTGCATATTTTGTGATGAATAGGATCTAAGCTGTGCTTGATTTTATCTCTTTTCTAAAGAAGCCATTGTGTTCTGTGTGATGTGCGTAGTCTCACTTACACATTTTCAACTTCTGAAGTGTATTTTTTCATTTATTTATTGTTCTCTAAGAACTCTTTGCTGACATGTGTTGCTGGATTCAATCCTGCATTAGTCATATTTAAGACACTAAATTTCTTAAATTATTGTATTTAATGTTTTCTATGAGGAGACACAACTTCTTGAGGGTACACAATTTCATCTTAGCTATCTCCTTCATTGGTCAGAATTTATTGGCCTCCTGCTTGTTGTTTTGAAGTATCATAGAAGAATCTCTTGTTGGCCGTTCATCTTATATCAAATCATATGTAGAAGCTACTAACTTGATGAATTCTGAGGATGTTCTCTTTTTAATTTTCCAGGCCATTAGATGTTTGCGTTGTCATTGAAAATTCCAATCTTCAGATCCTGCAGTCATTCAATTTGTGTGACTAGGGAAACTCTCTTTATTGTAGTTGACTTAAAAATTGCTTCTCAGTTCAATTTTTAAACAAAAATATTGATGCTTTTATTTATGAGTGATGCAGTGTATGAATTAATTTGCTTGATTATTTTATAGTAATTTATCCCAGATGAAGGGTTGTTATGGTTAAAGTCTGCAGCCTTTTATGTGCACATCAACCAACCTGAGGACTTTAACCGTAACATATTCACTCTACTGGCATCAGCATCTGTTTTGTTTGGGTGATCAATTTCTTGTTTTATTTTCATCTAAGAACTATTGTATTAACAAGCTTTTAAAAACCCTCATTGTGCCTTTACTGTATTTTGTACCCTGGAATGTACGATTGCTAATCTAGTCACATGATTGGGACCCTACCTTATGGTGAAGCATACTTAATATTTGATGTTTGTGAGTGTTTGTATTGTCTGTGTCAATTCAATGGTATAATGGCTTCTCTAAACCCAGATGGGTTTGAGTACCATAAAGCAATATTCAAGGTAACTGAAGTCTTTTTTTTTTCTTCTCCCAAGGTTTAAAATCTCATCTTGATGCTCCACTGCATGACCTCATTCTTCATTCATAATGGGGAATGAATATGGTTTTATCTATATCTAACTTTCATTCATATTTTTTCACCGTAGTTTAACACTTTAGCTATACTGTATAAAATACATACCCTAAGCATTGATCAAATCAATCTTTCATAAAATTCATTCTTAAGTTGTGGTTTGTGATATTTAGTTCGACTCCCATTATCCCCTTTAGCTAAAGATTTTCTTTGCAGTGTCTTCTCTTTAGACTGTTCTTGTAATCCTTAGGTAGATTTTTATTGGAGTCAATAACTCACTAAGCACTTTCATCTTTGAGACTGATGACTTGTTTTGTTTAATGACTGGAGTTTTGTGCCAAGGAAGCCAGAGAAATACATGATGTGTATTCTAGTATTCATATTTCTCTACTAGATGTATTAAAGTAATTAATCTGGACTCGAGTTCAATTTTAACATAACAACCTATTTTAGAAATTCTTGCAAAACTTTTATATTTATCCTGTAAATTTTGTTACTTCCTCTACTTTGCAAACTGAACCTAATTTTTCTTAAATAAAATGTTGAACCAATACAGAATATTGGAAGTGTTACTCCATACACCAAGTATCATAGTGGAATGGTCATTTCATTTATTTCATGTCCATGTAAACATCTACACATTTCTCAGATCATAGCATATACCTGAAGCCTGAATCCTATGATAAATCTTAAATCAACTAATCGCAAGAACAAAATTTTCTAATAGTAATTACTGTGACTAGAATAGATTTATTTAACTTAGAGATAAATGAACACGTAGTCTAACACAATGCTCAAGGGCTAATGAATCACATACAAATATATAAAAATAATAAGCAGAAGGGCCCCACTGCTAATTTCGATCATTTCACAAAGACAATCACATTTTTATCACATTGAGCTGTCACTTTCTTCATGGGTACAATATTATGATATAACACCTTGAGTCTTGAATTAAAATGGACTCGAAGACCAGTGACTTCCTGAATGCATTCCAAGAATGTCTATCCTATTGGTGTTAGAAAGAAGAAAAACAACTTTGGGACCAGCATGTAATGGAATATTGCTGATTACAAGATGCGAGATAACATTATTTATGAAGAAATATAGTTTTCATTAACGAGATGGACTTAAATTGGAATGTGGACTACCTTTATGTGCATGACCATTGATTTCACCCCAGCGTGTTTCAAAGTAAGTACGCATGCCGTGCCCTGCCTTCCCTACAGGAGAATCGTCTTCATTGAAGATTTCACAGTTATTGAAGATGAGACGAACATCTGAGCAGAAGTCCTCTCGTGACTTGTACCTGGTGTACAGAAAAAGAAATTAGACTAACAATCTTATTAATAAGAACTGATCATGTCTAAATTTCAATACTAACTGCCCATCGATGAGTTTCTTCTTAATTGTACTGAGATCCATTGGCCAGCGAATAATTTTACGATAAGTAGGGAATTGTTTAGTATTGACAGGAAGGAGGAATGGCCAAGATTCTTCCTGCTCTTCTAGTTCATCTAGTAACATGCGGCAAGGTGTCAGTTCCTTGGCCAGTCTTTTGCTGGTTTTCTTTGGTGTTACTACTGAACTTGCAGAGGAACTGCTTGGACAAGCATGGGGAGACAGTTGAGGTGGTGTATTGGGATGCTTAGTTTGGCTCTCAGTAGAATTGGTGTCCTCAATAGGCTTCATTGAGCAGCTATCAGCCATGAAATCCATCTCTGGAGGATCATTGTGGCTGTCCATTGGTGTTGGAGGCTTGAGATAGGGTGGACTGAAAACAAAGTAAGATTTCCTTTGTGAAGAAATGTTTGAAGAAACATATATACTTGCTGTTCAACGACAAATGAACTTCTACTAGATTATTATCATTGTTTTTACCTCTAAATATTCAAATTTTAACCTTAATCTTAATTTTAAAATAAATAGGGTCTCCCTATAAACAAATACTTTATCTGACAGTTGATTGACAAACCATAAACATTGTGGAAAAGACTAATAATTTTTTTTAAATCACTGGATTAAAGGAACATTTTAAGTCTGCCTCTTAACCATAGCTATCCACTAGCAGGGAAGAAGACATCTAATTAGCGATCAACTAGCTATCAACTACTGAGGGATAACCAACTACTAACTAGGCATATCAAGCTGTCCAGTTATTGGCACTACTCTACTAAGGCTGTTAAAGCAATCTACCACCTTGTTAGCAGAAGAGCAGCAAGTATTGTGATGTTCAGCTTCAGTCTGGAAATTTTGTTTGGTTCAATTCAGAGAGAGTACATTATCATTTCACAATTGTAATGGCAAAATGAAATCTGTGGATATTTTTTTACTGTTTCGTGAGTTTATACACCCAAGAAAAAAAACTGCTCAGTCAAGGTACGCAGTAAAAACTGCTTCACAAAACAAAACAAAAATCTTTAACAAAAATTTTAGTGTTATTTTGTAAAAGCAATCATAAGACCACAGTTTTAAATAGTACAGTCAGCCAATAATTGACATATAAAACTGAAATACAAGGGTAAAGAATAGGTTAAAAGGAACCCAAACTACAGCCCTAGAGGCTTAAAAGGATCAGAACATCATGATGAACTACAACCAGAAAAAAAAAAACTGAAGGTATCTGTTCTGAGACATAGTCTTAAAACATCTCGTATGGGCATGTATGGGCTTGTGGAGGGCATCATGCTATATAGGAAAACAAATAAAGAAAATTATAAAGGGCAGTAACAATTTATTCCATTCATAACTGTTTCCTTTAAAAATACAATCTCTTTCAACATGTAACACAGATCTGTAAGCCGCCTCCTTTTCTTGTTCATTTGGCCAACATTTGTTTTTAAGTAATAAAATAGAATATGAATATCACACGAATATCATTATTAATATTAAAGACATTCAAGAGTAGTTGCATTGAGTTTGTACAAAATTAAGTACTGCCATGGAGTTACAGTAAGTAAACTCCTCTCCTTTTAGTATTGTAACAGTGTGTGTTGAGAATACAAAAAATATGACCAGAACATTCTATACACAGTTTCACACAAGCATGTAATCTATAGGCTAAATGTGTGAAATATAGAGAACAATATTCAAATAAGCTCAAAAACGTACTGAAATTGAAATCTCCTTCATTAAGGTTTTCCAAAATAAACACCAGGGTTGCCCTTGTTGCTTATTAAAAAAAACAATGCACAATAAACATATCAGTTTGAAAGATAATTTGGTCCATCCAGCAAAAGAGTGGCACTAAGATGTTTACGCTGTAAGGGCACTAGTCCCCAATCTCTGGCTGGATGGGACAATAGTCATGATATTCAAAAATTATGAAAGAGAATATTTAAGACAACAAATGCTGACCAATTTTGGCCTTAGGTTCCACCCGTAATTGCTTTAAACTTCTTATAGCAAACTATCAATAATACTTTTGCTCAAAAATAAAAGCTAAAAATAATCTACGATTTCCTACTGACTCAAAGTTTTAAAAGAGGAGGGATGTGTGGTTCAAAGAGGTTGTATCTCATCTTTAAATAAAAAATTCAACACACCTCACAATAAAAATATATTGTGACAAACTCAGTAGCTTTCGGAATAGCTACTATTTGCACATGCACGTACTGCCATTATATCACACTCTTGGAAATAAAATTTGAAATTAATTACTATGTATACTAATATACATATTTACTTTTGTCTTCACACTTTACAAAGCTTAGCTTTATATTTACAAAGTATTTACATTTACCCATTTAAATTTCAATTTCTATAAAATCACAATATTTCTTTAAGAGGATTGCCTCCTAAAATAGTCATAAATTATCTCACAACCATGGTTGGTTACGTCACATCACCTCACCAAAAGATAGCAGATTGAGTCAAGCCCAAGACTTAGTAAAGAGAACAACTTTGAATGGCATGCTTGTTAATTGAAGTGCTTTCAGTTCTTTAAATCCCTCGTTTCTCTGAGAACTTGCACTCTAATTTATATTAGTACCACGACAACAGAAATAGAAAGCTTGGTGTGTAGTGTAGGAATGAGGCCTACAGAATGGAGCTCAAACTGATTGCACGGCCAAACAAAGCTCTAAAATGAACCTCGCAACCTTGTAAAAAAGCTGTGAAGTTTGTCCAAGAGGTTGTTTGCTGGTCCATAGATGAAAGGGTACCCTTAGTATATATAAGCCTGTAATTCTGTGTTTGCTCTTCCTTTACAGAGCATCAGGATTAACTCCTTTTATTTTTCACGCTCCTGAAAAATGAAATAAAATAAAAAAATCATTTTGAAGGACTGATTACCCCTCCATATGATGTACCTGATCCTTCCAGGTATAGATCTATTGCCAAAAAAAAAACAAAAAAAAAAACAACAAAACAAATATATTGTATGTATTTAAATTGTTAAACAAAATTACTTGCTATTGTTTGAAAATAAAGCAACCTCAAGCAAAAGATAAACCTAACTCATACCGGTGTACATAGTCGACCATTAAGCACATGCTTTTATGTTCAAAATAATTTTATAGAAATTAGTGGGTATTGGTAAGGAATGAGAAAACAAGGTAAACAGGGCAAATGGGGAAAATACAGGAGAACAGAAAGTCATTCTTGGCTTCTCTCTCTCTGTCTTAAGCATAGTAAGTAATACAGAAGCTTTTCTCCAATAAGGAAAATTATAAAACAAAATTTATGTTGTATTGACAGTACAAATAAAATTTATCATGCAAAATTGTCACATATTTAAAAAAATTGTAAGCATGCTGGAAGCTAGAGGAAATGCAGCACATAGAAAAGTTGTTAATAGAAATCTATGAGGTTTAGTGACAATATATAATCCCTATACTAGTTATGACAAATTTAGAACATCCTACGGATCAGGAAGAGGGAAGAGAAGCTACATTTGAGATGCTGTAGTTTTTTATTGTTAATTGAACTTAAGACATGTAAAGAGAAAACTTACCATTGAAAAGGATAAAATGTTAACTTTTGAAAATTACAACTTAGTGTGATAATAATAAAAACAAACATTACTGTTCTCAATTAAACCCAATGAGGTACGCATGAGTTAAAAAGTAATCAGAGCAAGATAAGGAGGGATTGATAACTTTTTTCATGGACCTATGGATATGGATCCTGTTTATATCTCAATTAAATACTATAACATTTTACTGACCTTGAAGGAGGTTGATCACTACTTTCGCTGTCCCGTGTGTTTTCATTCCTGTCTTTGTCACCTCTTGATTTACTCGGTGTTGATTTCTTGGTACTTGTACGTTTTGCCTTCGGTACCTTGGAGTGACAGTTTTGACAGTACCATTTCCCTCGTGGAACCTAAGTAATCATGTAATTGAGGTTGAAAAACTGCTGAACAAATAATCAAACACACATACTCATCAAGTAAATCAATTAAACAATGTACCTTGTTTAATGGTGGTGTAAGACAATCAGTGTGATAAACACGTGGACAGTTATCACAGTAAAGTAGATTACGGCCTGTTTTCTTTCCACACACAATACAGTTTTTGTCACCCGTCGCCTTATTTAAACATTCATAACAATACCTGAAAATGTTAATAGGTTTTCATATTTGCTGTCTATGACAATTTAAATTACTCTCTCAATGTTGGTTAGTATATCTAAGAAGCTTACCAATCTCCATCAGGAATATTTTCCATTTTGGGTTTAAAACAATAAGTATGATATCCTCTATCACACCCATCACAGAGTAGAAGTTTATCTTCATTGTCTCCTGAATGACAAAACTGGCAATTCTAAAACAAACAAAATTAAAGGAGAATGTAGAAAAGGATGGAACTAAATTATACGCATATTGGTGTGCTGACAGCACAGCAAAAATTATATACTTACAGCCTTCATTATACTTTTATCCCACGCTATTGATGACTCCAACATGTACAGTGACATAGCTAATTGTGCAGCAGTGTGTGATCTTGAAACAGCTTCTCGCCAAATAATAAGTCCTTTAGGCAAACTCTCTGGGTCAGGAACAGATTGTTCGCCAGAAAGTCCCATCAAATTAACATCACCAACACTGCCAAAATTAGTAAGAGATAAAACACGTAACTATAGAGTACAGCAATAATGTGCAAATGATCTAGGACTTAAGTGCCACGAACCTGATTCCAAGGGGTGGCTTTAAATATCGCCTTTCAATTGCAGCCTCAAGGCACAACAGACGATCTTTAGCAATGGTGACTGGGTTGGCACGCTCGTCTGCTTCTTCTACATGACCATCAAGGCATGAAGGGCGGAAAACATACCCTTCTTCTGAAGTTGCTCTGTTTGGTACTTTCCAGCCCTAATTCCAAGAAAAGAATTGTTAATAATCTCTTCAATATAAACAGATTGAAAATTCACCACCTGAAATGGTGAGAATAGACTTGCAGACTACACTCACCTTCACCTGCATGCTGGCATTAGCAACTCGATCTTCCATTGCTTCAACTTGTTCTAATATTGCTAGATCTACCCTCAATGCAACATCATCAGACCAGTGCGATGGGACTTCTGCAGAAGGTGCTCCTAACTCCATTGGTACATCTATGTCAGTGGGATGTAATTCTACAAGACTTTTGTCTTCAGGGCCAGGGCACGACTAAAGGGTGAAATAAAACAATCAATTTTTGGGCAATATTCAATATAAACTTTAGTATTATAACACAGCTATATTAAAAACTTACAGATACTGAAGCTTCTACAGAAGATTCAAGGTGTCTCACTAGATTTCTCTTTAGTTCACCTTCCCTGATACCTCTTTGATGAAGAGAATCAGTCACTTCAGTTAAATATTCTGGTTTTGCTATCTTCCACCAACCTCTCATCATGTCTAAAAAAAATTTACAGCAATTAGGATTTCAAAACCAGATTTGAGAATGGTGAGTAAATTGAAGCTGAAGTTAAATAGGGATTTCTGTATAGCTTCTGCTTACCCCTCGGTATTGGCTGACAAGGCAGAGGTTCTGGTGGTCCATGAAGTTTTACTCTCTCGAGCTCTTCTGCTTCTTCTGTAGTCATCATCAATGGAGGGGGAGATTCACAGAGCGGCAACATGGATACAGGTGAAGGTAGGCGTCCACAACCATAAACAGGAACTCTCAGCTCTCCATCGACAATTCTGGACAGAACAGCAAATTGGATGTATTTATTTAAATCAATGACTTTTTGTGTTGTAAGAAGAAGCAACTTTTTTCTCACCTTGCAGGATTGTTCCCAACGGATGTACTATCACAGGAATCTCTGGGGATTATACTAAACCATGTCTTTTCTGGGCTTGCTGGTCTTGGCGGGCTTGTTGCAGTACAGCCACCATTCAAGTCTTTCACATTGTTTAAAACAGTAGGGACCGCATTAGGGCATGCATTTGTTACCTGGATAGCAAGAAAACAATCAAATAAAATAGGTTGTAGTTCCAATTTATATTTTAACAAGTTGTGTGCAGCAGGATGAAGATCACTACCTGACTGCTGGCATCAACGTGATTGAGGGCTGGTTTAACATCAGTTGATTCCTTTGCTTTGTCCTCCATTTCTTCTGTCTTTGGTGCAGCTTTATCACCTTGGAAGGCAGACTCAAGCTCAGCACCTTCAAGACGGGAAGTCAGATCAACTTTGACTGAAGTTAAAGGTGCCTCTTCCTCTTTTGGTTTGTTAGAACTAGCACTATCCTCTACTTTTACAATGGGTTTAATATCCTCAACATCGTGTTTAGTATCGGATTTCAATTTTGAATCATCAACAGTGGGGTCCTCGCTCTCTTCTTTCTTTATAACCACAACTTCTTGATGGATTGGATCTTCGATTTCCATTTTTCCATCCACTGTTTCCTGGTTTTCTTGTTTAATAGATTTCTGGTCACTAATTTCCAGTGCTGGTTTGATTTCTTCTTTAGGAGAAGATTGATCAATACCAGACCCACTTGCCTTTGAGGTTCCGTTTGATTCCTCATTCTTAGTGATGGATTTGACTTCCTCATCCTCCTCATCCTCTTCATCATTCTCTTCATTATCTTCATCATCTCCATCGGATGCAGTGCCTCCATCTGTGCCATTTACCTCTTCATCGCCACTGTGTTCTTCGTTGTCATCTTTTCGTTCTTTACAGGGCCGAGGGCCACCTTCTTCACTATCTTCACTCACATCGTCCTCCTCACTTCTAGGCCTCTTTTTGCAATGATCTGGCTGGCTCTTTAATTCGTTGTAAAGATCAGGTTCTGCACTTTCCATGGCTTCAACAAAAATACCACCAGCGGTTGGCAAGGCCCAATATCGCCTGTAGTACCTATCTTGCCCTAGTGGAGTAGCCCTTAGTTGGTAGGTAGAGGCATTTAATGTTTGAAGATTTAATTCTAATTGACGTTGAACTCTATCAATCTTTTTGGCAAGTTCTTCAGCACTAAGTCGAAGATCCTCTTCTTCTTCAGGTAGAGTTCCTTCAGGAAGGGTTCCTTCACTTTCGTTGCAACTATCATCCTCATTCTCATCTTCTGCTTCCTCAGCTTCAACTGGAGCTGCTTGCTTCTTGGTTGGTGCAGCTGCAGGGGTAGCAGGGGTAGCTGCTGACTCACTTTTGGCACTGTCACTACTAGCAGGTTTAGTAGGTTCTATAGTCTCTTCAGTCTTTGCACTAGAGTCAGTGGGAGGTATGGTGCTATCAGAGGGAGTGGCTGTGGATACTTCACTCGTTTCTGTTTGGGTTTCACCACTGGGCTCAGAACTGGGTGTGTTTTGCATATCAGTTTTCACTGTTGTTGGTGTGGTAGAAGTTTGTACTCCAACTGTGTGAGGTGTAACAGCATGGGCTGGTCCCATCATTTGGGTAGCCATGGGTGTTCCTGCTTGAGCATTCTGAAGTGTCTGTAGAGCAGCTATTCTTGCTTTTCTTTGATGTAAAAGGCGAAGCCTGAAATAGAGAATCATAAAATTATTGTACATTGGTGGGAAAAACGCTCATATTTAGGATTTGATTTGATTCTGTGAACTTACTTTCTAAGTTTGTTGTCAAGGATGTAACGATCTTTCCTAATTTGACCACCATTTTCTATTGCTTTTTCAATCTGTCCGGTAACTGCCTTGTTTTGAAGAAGTTCATTGCAAAGAAAAGCAAGGATAGCAGCCTTACATGTTGGACTGAGAGCAAGGAAAGGGTGTGTCCGCAACCATTCTGACATGGCCCATGTTGGATTTTCCCTTAGGCAAGCAAAGAATGCAGCATTTTTTCCACTGGTGGGGCAAGTATCATCGTAACTATTATGATGATCAGACATACGCTTTTCTCTATCTCGTTCAAAGTTTAAACCTGAGAAGCAGAAAAGAGCAAATCAGTCTGTATTCTAAGCATCTTCAAATTTAGGAAATCCCTATTTTTAAATCAGTATTTATAGAGACAAGTTAAGCAATTTCAGTTTCTTACCAGACAGTGATTTAACTTCGCCAGTTGCGTTAGCATATAAATAAATTCTCATTATTTCTGAAATATTACTATGAGTTATATCAGCTTGTTTCAGGCTTTGACCTAAAATTGTGATGTGACGGGCTGGATTCGGAATCCCTGGATCTTCAATAGCACAAACTAGTAGATGTGTCATCACAGACAATAATTCTTCCTCTGTGTCCTGGTCATTAAGAAGTGCTGCTTGCAAATTGTTCAGAGTTGGCAAACTTTCCATATCTGAAATTTTAAAAATTAGAAATTAACAAAACTAATCCAGTTGAAACATTGATTAAGATTTAATTTAATAGTCACTTTGTTACTCACCAAAACCAAGTGTTTCCCCAAATGTATGTAAGAATTCAAACACCATAAGTGTGTCTAGAAAAGCTTGACCGCATAACTGGAGACCAGGCAAACGTTCCAGCATGGGCAAATATTTCTCCTCTCCTAATTCCATATCCTCAACTGGTTTCCGAATTTCAGTAAGTAGTTCAACATCAATACGTCTTTGCTCAAGTTTCTTTTCTCGGTTTGCAAGCTTTTCTGCTCTTGCTTCCAGTCTCTTCCTCTCCCTTTCTTCCAGTCGCTTTCTGTTTTCCAGGGACCGCACTAGAGCCATGTGTTGTCGTCTCCTCTCTCTTTCCTACAATAGAAAAAGATTAAAATAAGTCAGATGTAAATTAGAGATCCAAGAAAATACCTCCATCATTGTAAGTATAATTGCAGATAGAAAAGGAGTGCTACCGGAAAAAATTCTTGAACTATGTAAGTAAAAGTTAGTCAAGAGTGCAAGTAACAAAAACATAAAAAACAAATTTTGAAAAGGAAGGTGTATTTTTTAATTTTTTTTAGATGTGGGATAGAAATATTCTTCCAAGCCAAAGCAATAATGCCCAGAGTATAGGTGTTGGTTATGGTGAAAATTTAGATTTTGTAACAAAATCAAATTTGAATTTTCCTGACATTGGCATACAAGATACTCACCAGCTCCACAGTGTAGAGCAATTCCCGCTGCTTATTCATCTCCTGCATGTATAGCTGAACAGACAGAAAATACCACACACCAGTCAGTGCGAGTCAAGGTACGCACCACTAAATGCTCGCACGCACACACTATTACAATCAAATAGATATTACAGTACAAATGTAAGATTCGGAATCAATACCATGCAGGGTAAAGAATATTTGAAGTTACAAGCATTAAAACAATAACAAAAACTTATTTGTTTTGGAAATTATTATTGAATATTATTAAATTAGACATCATTTGTTGATTTCCCAAACAAAAAGTGAAAGGAAAAGATGTTGAATCTTCAGATAGAGAAATGTAAACTACACACATGCGTAATCATCTTCACAAAACTAAATGTAATATATAATAACGCAAGCAAGCATATTATACCATAACAAAAGCTGATGATAAAAAGAAAAATTAGTCAGAACAGAAGTATTTTATTCAATAGGACAAGTAAATTTGAATCACTAGAAATAAAGACTTGTTAGTAAGCAAAAGTGTGTTACATGTATGAAAATAAGTGGAAGTGATAAGATTCATGACAAATCCCAAACCAACAAAAATTTTGTGAAATGTAAATCAATAATTAAGAAATGTTGCATTTTTCAAGAGTTGATCACTCACATGCATTTACATAACAAATCCTTTAAAATCTGAAAAATGTTTGTTAGCATGCATTCATGCATTCTGAATTTCTGGAGGTGATGAAACTAAATCAATGATTATTCAATCAGACATTCACTCATTTATTTGCACTCACTCAAGACTAGAATGTAGTAAAATGGTTCTTGTTTGATGATTGGTTAGGGAAATGATACAAGATGACGCTTGGCAAGGCATGGCGAATCAGGCCAGGCATGGCAGCTACCCTCCCCAGCATGGCATATTTGTTGAGCCTAGCCTCACACTACAATCTAACTTTGGCGGCCAACAAATAAGTATCACTAGGGTCTCTTTCCCCCGCTCACCTTTCCCTTACATGCGTTGTCGTGACATTGCTCACCCTTACCGTGTCATCAATTATGGGGATGGTTGAAGGCGCCGTAATTGCAAGAGCAGGTGGTGGAGTCTCGCTCTTTGGAGGAGGAGTAGCTGCAGGTGGGACACTTGTTGGTGTGTTAGAATGACTGCTGAGTTGAAGATTATTCGGTGATCCCTTGGGAGGAGTACGAGTAGTAGGATGCTCCTTAGTAACTTGACTTTCAAGTGCGCTTAAAACGCCTTCCCTGTTTTTCCAAATTGTTGCAACAGTAGAGCTGGCCAGTCCCAAAGCTCGACTTACATCCGATTTGCTGCGCCCTCCCTCTATTTCTCGAATGATGTGCAACTTTTGCTCAGCCGTGAAAGCCAATCTCTTGCGGCCCTGGAGGGATCATGCCATGTCATCTTATCGCCACCTCTAGCCAAGACATTGATAGTATGCAGACAGTGAATTATGCTGACCAACGCTGATGCTTTATTGACTGAATTTGTTTTGGACCCAACATAAGCGATTAGCACATAGCCAGTAATTCACTCTCATCTCAGAAGAATTGGACAGAGCTATAGCTTTGATATATCAAAGATGAAAGTATTGCAAAAATTTGATATGAAATTACTTAGCATTATACAGAGTACTGTGCATGTGCATATCACACTAAATCAGTCTCGGGTTTCCAATGGGTCACTAAAGGGGAACGGGAAGGAGGCACTACAGAAATAACCGCCAGGGAGACTTTTTCCTCTTTCTATTGGGTACAGGGGATGGCATTTTCTTGTCAAACAAGCAATCATGCAGGCTTCCAATTATTTGGTCTCCCCTAATTGCTAGTTTCATCATGAACTATAATTTCT